AGTTAACTTTGAGTTAGTTAGTTAGTTAGATAGTTAAGTTGTTAGTTCTTCCCATATCCCTAGGATATTTCCTATAAATAGCTGGTCATTTGTAAATTTTCCTACACTTGAATACAATCCTCGTTTTCTCTCAAACTTGCCTACACCAATATTCATGAATATTTAACCATCCTAATGCAACTCCAAATCCACCATCTTCATTTATACCCGAACCCCTTCTCTAGAGGACTTTGCCCAAGAAATCCCAACCCACGTTGAGGCCCATCCTCCCCTCGTTGGTTGACTAAACATCCACCAGACCGGATCATAGCCAATGACTGGCTTAGCCTTTTGCGAGAGCACCAATAGGTGTGCGTAGGTGGCTTCCCCCTATTTTCGTGCTGCAAAACTTGAGTTGCATAGAAAATCATGTTGTTTCTTTCCAACAAAATGCTTCAAACGAAGGTTCAAACAAGTTGTTCCCACACTCCTTCCTTAAAATGATGACCAATCAACAAAGGAAGATAGAGGAGTTGATGTGCAATACAGTTTGCCAATCAAAGGTCTCGAGCAATCCATTCCAAAAATAGGAGGTAAATTTGCATAAAATAAAGAGGTGACCTTGTGTTTCAGCCTCTTTGTAGCATAGAAGGCAACAATTTGGAGAGAGCTGTGTGTGGCAACCTCTTCTGAATCTTATCAAAAGTGTTAATAGCGCGGCAAAGTTCCCACCAGAAAATTTTAATTTTCTTCAGGTACTTTCCTTTCCAAATGCTTTAAAATCGTGGGAAAGAAGAAGTTTTTGAGATATTGGGAAAACGTTATGGCTATTAGAAGGCTTAATGAACATGATGAGTAAAAAGACATTACCAATGCTTTAAAATCGAAATTTTCACAACAATGTTGTATTAATCCTTACATGGATGACAAATCCCCCATGAGATTTAAAGATGGTAGGATAGCAAACTTGTTCGAAATGGCAGATGGAGAATGATTGGAAATTTCCATCTGATTTTCAGACCGGAGTTTTGCTAAACAAAGCATAAGGGAAGTAGTTAAGAGATACAGAGGATGGATAAACATTTGTAACTACCTTGGACCATAAATTTTTTTGGAGGCTTGGTGAGTATCTCTACCAAAACTCTGAACTTGTTTGAACGCTCGGAAGCTCTTATTCAAGTTAGAGCAAACTCTTGCAGTTTTGTTCTCACCTTTGTTGAAATCAAAGATCCCAAGCCTGGAAGCATTTTTGTTCAAATTTTCAATAGCCCCAACCCATCCGATTTTCAGAGTTATTTTTTCAAAGCATAGGATATGATCTTGGATATAAGTTCCTTAAGAAACAAGATCGATGTCCAAAGAATTAAGCAAGTTCTAGAAGATGAAAAATCTCTTCCATGTGAGACTCTCTTATACAACTAAGATCTAAAATGAGGAAGACAACGAACGACTTGGCAACATTTCAAAAGCATCTCTTGATTAAAAATCTCTTGCAAAAGATGATGAGATTTTCTTTAAGACGTTGCCAATGCAAATGTTCAGGGTATGAATGTCTCATAATTAGCAATCTTAGAAGAACGAATCAAGCCCTCCCCTCGAAGTGGACAAGGAGGAAATACAGTAGTTTTATGGAAGAGAATCATCATTTTGAAGTATGTAGAATCCACCCTTGATCCATGGCCAGGGTCATCGGGAGGCTATTATTAAGTACGCTTCTCTCGTTAAAAATAGATCCATTTGTAGAATCGGAAGAGGCACAATATCATTTTTGGAATGATAAGAGGGCAACTAGCTCCTCATTAGCCAATGAATTCCCATCACTCCTGCCCTGTCCACTGCTCAGGTTTGTGACATGTCACATGTGGTCAGACTTGTTGGAACTATTCTTTCCGTTAACTCTTAAAAGGGGATAAAACCTTGGATTGGCTCTCCCTCACGCAAAATCTATCAAAATTTGTACTCTGCCCCATAAAAGACAAATGAACTTGGCCTTACGACCCCTCCAAAGCCTTCTCTATTAAATCCATGTTAAAGGCACTTACTGACAATTGGGAGAACCAAAATGATTTTCTTTACAACAAAATTAAATTCCCCTTTAAAGGTTAGATTTCATAAAATATTTCAACTTTTCCTGACCCTGATGGTACAATCTTTGATCATTGGGATCAAGCCACAAATTCAAGGAAGGTGGACACAAGAAGGTTCTTGGAAGATGATGAAATAGAAGATTACAGATCTTTTGTGCATCATTAGCTCAATCCATCTTAGTAAAGAGGAAGTTAAGAACCCTCAGGCAGTTTTTTAGTTGCTTCATTATGCAGGCCAGGAATTATTTGCTGCTCTTTGGAAATCAACATTCTAATTTGGATTCTTTTACAAGGGAAAGGTAAATACAGCTGATGTTCTCCAAAATAAGCTCCCTTCCTTGGCCCTTCTACCTTCAATTTGTGTCTTGTGCTCTGCCAATGGAGAATGCATTGCCCATCTCTTCTTTCACTGCCCCTATGCTTCTCATTGTGGACATCTACAATTCCGTGAATTCAATTTTTGTTGGGTTTTCGCTTCTGCAAACGTGGATATTTTGTTCCATTTGTTATGTGGCCCAAATCTCTCTTCTAAAGCTCATCTTATTTGGATTAAGATTGTCAAAATTGTTTTATCCAAGTCATCGTTTGAATGTTTCAACTTGACCAACTTCAAAGCAACTCAATGGTGTTCTCTTTCAATTTTATTTGGATATTATTCTCCTAATCTGTCAGTGAGGGTCAATGTAAATAGCAAATAGCTTAGAGGGAATGGGTTCAAACCATGGTGGCCACCTACCTAGGATTTAATATCCTACGAGTTACCTTGTCAACCAAATGTAGTAGGGTCAAGCAGTTGACCCGTGATTAGTCGAGGTGCRCTCAAGCTGATCTCGAACACACGGATTTCAAAAAATTAAAAAATAATAAAAAAAATTCAATGAAATATCTATTTCTCATGAAAAGAAGGGGAAAAAAATTTCCAGCTATCAACTAATTGAGCATGTGAATTAAAAATTAAGATTCATAGGAATATATCCACTATAATGAATAATGATTAATTAAAGGAAAACAAATCCTTTTTACCCTACCTTAATGAGCCAATTTTAACCTTAAAAGTTCCAAATTTCATCAAATTTACCCCTGAAGCTGAATAAGTGGTAGAATTAAATCCTCCTCAAATTTACCCTACCTTGGATGGTATAAATGTTTTTTTGCCTCTTCTACAGATTACAGCTTAAAAAATGGAGGGCATCCTCTTTTGCATGCTCCTCCATTTTGAATACTTTATTAAATCGCTTTTTTTTAACAAGAAACAAACTTTTCATTGATAATATGAAAAGGAAGAAAATGTTGAAGGATACGAACTCCCAAAGGGAGTGAAAAACGATATAAAAAAGAAAAACACCCAACAAAGAATTACCATGAAAAAGATACAAGAGAATAGAACAAAATCCCAAAACCGCACACTACAAACTGCAAAAGCAGCCCCACTAAACCTAAAGCCAAAGTTGGAACGAGCAGACTTGAATAAACCTTCTTCAGGGCTTGCAAAAAAATAACAAAGGCCTGCTAAAGAGAAGCCAAAACAACCACCAAACGACCATCAAACATCTGAGGGGCTAAATAGAAAATGTCTACGAAGTCACCAGAATCTTCTGAAAAATAGGAAGAACGAAAAGAAGAAAAATCTCCAAAGTCGCTTCCTGCTTCTAAATTTGACTCTATGCTACTACGACCGACTTCCTCATCCTCCGAATAATCTGAAAAGAAATCTTCCAGAGCCTCTTTGACAATGCATTCGTTAGTTGAATGGATAACCCCTTTAGATAGATGAAGCTTCATTGAAAATTCTTAAAATTCTTCTTTTTGAACCTCAAAATCAACGGGGTACACTTTTGACAAACAAACAACTTCCAGATCCTTGCTATGGTTAGGCACCATTGAACCTCCTTTCGGAATAATTAGCCTCAATGATTGATTCCTACGAGGTTTATTCCAAGTCTCTCAAAAAAGCGAAAAAAATCTTCTTGATTGTTGAAGAATTGGAAGGGGGAGAGAGTTCTTCGTTGAATAAAAGACCCAAGCTTCCTTCAATCAACCTCCATCTACCATTTCGAAAAGGTTCATCTAACCTTCTCTCATCTTCAAACCTCAAAATGGCTTTGTTATCCATGAAAGGGTTTAACGACATTTCTGAGAGAAGTTCACTTCCAAGGCTGAAGCAATGTCTTTCTACTCATTGTGTGCTTTGAGTCTTGTCACAACCATAATGTTATTCCACTCTAAATCAAGTACTTCGTGTTCTTTCTTAACCCAAAACGACGACTTTCTCTCACTACTTTTTGTATTAATTTCAGGATCAATAGCTTTATTGAACAAGAAATTGCTTATCATGTCCCAGAAAACTACCCAACCATTTTTGTTGAACCCAGAAGGCACATAAATAAACTTTCTACCACCCGAAGAAGGCCTAACAACAAATTCCAGAATCCAACCATGTTAAAAAAACATTTTCTGAATTCGACAAGTTCCATAGTCATCTCTGACTTGCTTGAAGAACTTTGAGTGAAGGGGAAGATGCAAGCATTCTACTAAAGCACTCTCAACCCAATAGAGTTGGGACACACGAAGAGGAAGATGAACATTCTTACAATCTTTAATAAAGCAACGGTCACTTTCACACCAAATCCAATAAAACTTATTTCCAACACTACAACTTTTCGAATCCATGCTTCCGAAACCTTAACTTAAACAGTTAAACTTAAAATGAACCCAACCTTGAAAGTTGAAACTAATTCGAAGAGACAGACTAGATTGAAGAAGAAAACGAGCTTTGATCAAAGAATTACCTTGAAGAAACGAAGCTGAAAAGGAAGGTTAAACCTTCCTTCATTATATCGATGAAATATCTATTTCTCATTCAAAGAAGGGAAAACAGATTCCAGCCATCAACTAATTGAGTATGTCAATTAACATTTAAGAATCCTAGGAATATATCCACTCTATGGAATAATGATTAATAAAAAGGGAAAAAAATCATTTTTACCATACCTTAATGAACCAATTTTAACCTTAAAACTTCCAAATTTCATCAAATTTAACCCTAAAGCTGAACAAGTGGTAAATTAAATCCTCCTCAAAACCAAATAAGAGTAGGCAAAGATGGCAAACGATAAATCATTGCTAAAGAAAATTTTCAAATAGTCAGAGATCATAAATAAAAAATTGTAAAAATTTCATGAAACTATATAGGATTGGGGGTGCTAGGTTAGAGGAAAAACCTGAAAGGCTATAACAAAAGAGTGTTAAAAAAAATCATAAATCTGAAGAACAATACTTGCCTGAAACCCATGTACAAAGACAACAATCTTCAAAATGCGACCACTCCTTTCTGGTACAGAGCGAGGCAGCTTGTCTACGGCATCTGAGCTTGGCCCACTGTCCATCCCAATAGCATCTATCATGTCAAAATGCCTCAAGTATGAATTTTCACTAGTTGAACGTCGAGGAGCATTCATGACACGCTCAATGATTACAATAGGGATTCGTGAAGGATCTCTAAATATATGCAGATCTTGGATAGATCTATTATTAATCTGCAATGGAGCACACTAACTTATTCCCAAAAATTCTACATTTTGAGGACATAAAAAGAATAAAGCATCTAATGACACAACTATCACCCACCCTCATTTGTAAAATACTCCGACGATGAAGCTCAGCTCTCATGGCTGCATTTTGGGCAGGCTGGAATGTAAAAATAAAATCCAATAATAACCAATGAAAGGTTAGCTTAAATAAATAAAACAGAAGTCGAGAATGGAATGTAAAAGGATGTTCAAATGAAGTGAAAACTTGGAACTTGGTAAATTATCATCAACTTCCAGTGCAGTATGATTATGGATGGTACAGCAAAAAATAAATAAATACTACTCACATCATCTGCTAACTTCCACAGACTTGAAACTCTTTTATGAACATTACTTCTACGGATTGCAAGGTTTGAAGGTTCCTCACTTCCACTATTTATGTAGTGATGGGGCATCTCAACTTTAGAGTAGACCATCCATATTGACCACTCAGCTCTCCTGTCCTTTGCCCATACATCCCGTAGATATTCTAGAATCTTTGTTTTATTAGCCCTGTGATATATTAATACCAATGATTCAACGTAGAAAAATATGCAAGTCAAAACCACATATCAGAGAGAGAAAAAAACAAAAACTATGTGCTAGGATTTGCATATACTGTATGCTATAACTTGCTTTTAGTGATATATGTGTCATAATTCAAAGGCCATTTCCTCTGGATTGTCTCAAGTGTATAACATTTCAAATCATACTTTTTCTACAAGAACATTCTAATCATACTTAGGAGTTAGGACTGCAATTTCGATCAGCAAAGATCATCTCCAAGAGTGACCCCAAAATACAAATACAAATCCAAATACATGTCTACACTAAATATTAAAAAGCTCGAGAAGGAGGACCCTCTGCTGCAACTCATTTGACAGACAAGTTATCCTTGTGTCTATATCTTCATATGAAAATTTTCACTGCTAAAATAACAAGTTAACAACAATAAGCCAGAAAAAGGCCTACAAAATCAGAGGAAATTACCAAAAGAATTTCAGCTCTGCATATACCCAAGTTTTTTTTTTTTTTTACAAGAAACAAACTTTTCATTGAAATATGAAAACAAAGAAAAAGTTAAAAGATACAGACTCCAAAAACAAACAATAAACTAAATGGTTCAATAAGATAAATAAGGAATAGCAAAACACTAAGGATGGTGCCTTCGTAACTACAACCTTCCCATAATTATGAACAATTAGAAAGCTTTTGTTTAGTTTTTCTTGGGTGGGGGTTCCCTCTACCCCGTCCTTAGGTTGTTTCCTTCCTTTTTTCTTGTTATATGCAGGTTTCTTATCCCAACAAACAAAAGTGAGAAGACAAGAAATTTAGATTCTAGAATTTCACAACTACATAGCTAAATAGAGTGTTACGTGTGATTTTGCCAATAATCTGAGTTGTTCAATCTTGCATGGTATAAGTAAATACCAGACATACCCAACTGATCTGATATCTACAATTTATTTGAAGGGATATCGACTTGACATCTAAATTTCAAATGAAGGTTATGAGCAGTAGTAACAATATGAAGTAACAGCATACCTATGGAACTTCAAAAAACTGCTCCATAAATATAACAGTTGATCACCGAGTGAGTGGAAATGGTGCGAAATATGACTTCCGAATCTTGATTGGTGCATTTGGTCACCACCATTAGTCCTCTGGTAAAATAAATAAATGGGCAAAAAAACAATCATAAAACAAAATTTAATTCGAGAGAGAGAGAGAGAGATTCAATTATATACTGCTTGAGATAAGCTTGGACCTCAAGGCCGTTTTGTGGCTTGCCTTGTCCTGAAACTCCACCCATTCTGTTAGCCACCTTTGGAGGCATCAAAACATCAATATACTCCGTATCATCCATTCCAGATATAAAATCAGTAAAATCAAAGGCTTGGTCAATGGCTTTGCTAAGGTTTTGAAACTCCTCGAGCAGAATATCACGAGCGCTCAATAATGCTTTAATAAGTGTGACCGCTTTATCGTCCCGCAATGCCCCAACCTGAATCAATACCCAATCCAACAGTCAAAATATGAAAATAATTTTTCTAAACATCATTTAACGTATGGAATGTGCACAAACTATTAGTAGCATAATACTTTGATAAAATTCTTCTCAGACTGTCGTTCAAGTATTATTCTATTGGCATTATGTACAGTGAGTAGAAGTGTTTACATTTTAATATTCCACCTAGTTATTTGATATTTAAGTCGGCAGGGTTTATAGAGGTAGTGAGGTACAACTTAATCTTTTGTCCCATCATTCCAGTAGCTAACAACTATTTCATTTTGCTGCTTTTAAGATATCAGATTATATGTTAGTATCTAGAGTATGAGGAAGACTATTACGAGGTGTTTGGCTTATGTGATTCAGAAGATATTTACTGCCCCAACCTGTGTTGATTTCCCCTTGTTTTTTGTGACTCGGAAGATATTTATTTTCCCCACCTATGATCTCTATGTTGGAAAAAGCTCTTCTGCATCCACCATTTCGTGATAAGGATTGGATCTTATGGCAAGCGGGTCTTTTCATTACTTTGTTTGTATTTAAAGGAATAATAAGATTTTTAAAAGGATTGAGAGATCCTGAGAAGATGTTCGGTTGCTTGCTAGGTTCAATGCTTTTCTTTGAGGGTAAATCTTCAAGGATTTCAGTAATGATTAGTTAGGTCTTATTATTTTGGATTGGAGCCCTTTTTTGTAAAATTAGTTAAGCTTGGTTTGGCTACTTTTGTTGAGCTAGTTTTCTTTATGCCCTTCTGAATTTCATTGAGATTTTTCTCAATGAAAGCACAGTTTTCAATAAAAGAATAATTATAAGTTACTTTCAATTGAATAATTATTTTATATAACAAGAAAAAAGAAGACATGGGTTGCAAGTTAAAATGAAGATTGCCATCAAGTGAATTCAAGATTTATATTCTTAACAACAGTTTTCTTTCTTTAAAATAAAAATAAAACAAACTTTTCAAAGAAAATTTTTCTAGGATCGTTGATATTTTGTTTGTTGGTTCGGTGGTTTGTTCTTTTCACACCCTTTTGGGAGTTTGCATCCTTGAAAACAAAGAGTATTATGAAAATTCTTTAATGGAACGTTCGAGGCCTAAGGGATTATAAGAAAAGACTGGAGGTTTAGAAAACTATTCAGAAATTTTGTCCGGAAGTGGTTTTGCTTCAGGAGACCAAGCTTCAACAGACTGATAAGACTATTATTAAGTCGCTGTGGAGTTCGAAGGAGGTTGGCTTGGCTCCAGCTTGATTCCGAAGGAGGATCAGGCAGTATCTTAACTCTATGGGTCGAGAATAAAGTTCTAATGCTTTTAGCCCTAGAAGGAAGATTTTCAGTAACTATTTCTATTTTCATTTCTCAATTGAATACTGTGGTCATTACTAATGTTTATGGGTCAAATGATTACAGAGAAAGAAAGCTTCTATGGACTGAGCTCCGATTTCAGGGTTCTGTGATAATTTTTGGCGCCTTGGAGGTGATTTTAATATCACAAGATGGATTTTGGATAGATCTCATAAGAGTTACAAGAGGTATGAGGAAATTCAATAAAATCATTGAAGATCTAGAGCTGCTGAAATCCCTTGTCAAACGGAAAATTCACTTGGTCTAAAATGGGCAACAATAACATCCACTCACTGTTGGATTGGTTCTTTGTTTCTAAGGATTGGGACAATCTGTTTAGTAACTTCAAGGTAAGCAAGGCCGAATATTTACTTACTTCTAACCACTAACCAATTGTTCTTGATGCAGGGGACTTCTTATGTGGACCTTCTCCTTTTAGATTTTTTTTTTTTTTTTTTGGAAGAAACAATTTCATTGATAATATGAAATTACAAAAGAGATAACAAAGAGCCAAAGAGGGTTACATGAAGTACTTCCAATTGTAAAAAGGGAAGTGTAGGAATAATGGTGAAAAAGAGGAGAATTTTTACTCCAAGTGATAACTGTGAAGACTAAAGAATCAAAAACCCTTTCAAAGCGGAGGTCCTTGTCGTTGAAAGTTCGATTGTTTCTTTCTCTCCAAGTTATCCAAAAGAATGCTCTAACAAAATGCTTCCATAGGATTTCCTTTTCTTTTGTAAAAGGATGGCCATTGAGGGTGTACTCCAGCAGAAGGTGGATTTCATTAGGTAATGCGGTGAACCATCCAAACAATTGAAGAAGGTTTTTCCAGATACCAAATGCAAAAAGGCATGTGATGAAAAGATGTGGCTGTGACTTGGATTCTGCCTTACACATTGGGCATCAATGGGGAGAGATAGACATGTAGGGCAGTCTCCTTTGTAGCTTATCAAATGTGTTTATGGCTTTGTGGCTGCATTCCCATAAAAAAAAATAAATAAATAACTTTTTTGGGATAAGAGCCCTTCCAAATGGCCTCATAAAGTCTAGGTGAAGAGACCGGGTTGTTTAGTGTGAGGTCTTTGTTGAGGGAGCTTGTTGAAAAGGAACCGTTTGCTTCTAGTCTCCAGAAAATTGAGTCCTTTTCGGCTGTCAAGTATATAGTTGAGAGTTTGTGCGATAGGGCGGCCCATTCAACTATTTTGGCTTCCTTTAAGTTCCTCAAATTCCATGCTGCTGTTTCTGTCAACCAGAAATCCTTAATTGGGGCATCCTTTTTAGAAGATAGAGCAAACAGGAGCGGGTAGGAGTGTTCCAGAGATGCCTCATGGAGCCAGGTAGACTTCCAAAAAGAAGTATCACGGCCATTGCCAACCTTGTAAGTTATTCGATCGTAGATCAGACCTTGAGTTTTATGAATAGCTATCCAAAGGCCTTTTGCAGTGGGGAGGGAATTAGACACTGGCTTATTATTCCAAGAAGATCTTCCATATTTGGCTTCAATAACCGCCCTCCAAAGAGTCGTTCTCTCTTTTAAATACCTCCACGTTTTGGCAAGGAGCACCTTGTTTTTCAGCCTCATATTTGTGATACCCAATCCTCCCTGTTCAATCAGATATTGTGTAGTTTCCCACCTGACCAAGTTGGTTCCTTTTTGTTCAAGAGTATCCTGCCAAAGGAAAGTTCTAATGATGCACTCGATAGTTTGGGCAACCGATGATGGCAAAGGGAAGAGGGATAGGTCGTAAGTGGGAAGGTTTGATAGTGTGGCTTGGATGAGAGTATGATGTCCACCCTTTGATATGAAAGAGTTCCTCCATGAGCTCAACCTTTTTGCCACTTTCTCGATCGCCAAGTCCCAAAAGGATAGAGTTTCGTGCTCTCCATGAAGAGGTAATCCAAGATACGTGTTGGGCCAAGTACCTTTCTTACAAGCAAACTTTGATGCCATAGAGTCCAGCTCACTATCATCTAGATTAACCCCCAAAATTTCAGGAAGCAAAGATTTTTTCTCATGGTTAGAAGCTAGGAAGCAACAAAGTGTACGTGTCAGACACAGATACGTTCGGACACGCTTTGGACATGTGTCAGAGCGTGTCCGACATGCGAAATAATGTGTCCTCTTTTTTATTATATTTTTTTATTTCGGGCACGGGGTGGACACGCCATAGACACGCTGCAGACACGTCAATCGCTTGGCTTTGAAACCTTTACTCGCGAAGAAGAAGATGAACAGGAAGAAAACATAGAAAAATATTGCTGGCCATGAACACATTTTAAGGCACTTTACTCACAAAGAAGAAGATGAAGAAAAATAAAGGAGGAAGAATGGGAAGAAGAAGAAGAGTTTGGAAACAGAGAGAAGAAGGAGATGAAGAAAAACAAAGAAGAGGAAGAATGGGAAGAAGAAGAGTTTGGAACCAGAGAGCAGAGAAGAAGAAACGTTGGAGGAGAAAAGGAAGTGTTGGTAAGAGTATGCGGCTCTTAAACGCATTTATTGAGGAATCACAACTCACAGATATTCCTCTTGACAATGGGCAATACACCTGGTCCAAAAACTCATGCTTCTCCCTCCTTGATCGGTTTCTTCTCACAAGTGGGTGTATAGACAAATTGGGGCTGCCCAAAACTAAAAGGTTGGTGAGAACAACCTCTGATCACTTCCCCATTTTACTTGACTTTGGGCAGAATAATTGGGGACCGTCTCCTTTCAGATTTGAGAACAATTGGTAACACATAGATCCTTCCTTCCCTTTCTCGATGCTTGGTGGAAATCCAACCCTATTACTGGATGGCCTGGACACGGATTGATGATGAAGCTTAAGTCTCTCAAAATGGCCATAAAACAGTGGAATGTCCAAACATTCAGATGTAGTCACTCACAAAAGGACACTCTCACTAAACATATTAGCTATTTTGACGACCTTGAAGGAATCCACCCCCTCACCCTGGAACAAGCACATGAAAGGAATCGGGCAATAGAGAACCTTTTAGCCATCACAGTGAAGGAAGAAATTTTCTGGAGGCAAAAATGCAAACTGAAATGGCTTAGAGAAGGGGACAAAAACACAAATTTCTTCCACAGATTCCTTGCAAACAAGAGGAGAAGAAATACCATCACAGAAGTTCTCTCTCGAGATGGGACAAGTCTGACACTGATCTGAGACATTGAAGTTGAATTTATTGATTTCTACAATAAGCTCTACACCCGAAAGAAAGGTCATCGATGCCTCCCCACCAATCTTCCTTGGGATCCTATTCCCACTGATCTCTCATCGATGCTTGAGCAACCTTTCACTGAGGAGGAAATTGGAAATTGTCAAGGCTGTTCATAATCTTGGCACTGATAAGGCACCAGCACCGGACGGATTCACAGCAGAATTTTTTAAAAAGTCATGGAACATTATCAAAGACAACATATTGAAAATGTTCCAAGACTTTTTCAAAAATGGAGTCCTCAATGTTGCACTAAACGAGACATACATCTGCATTATACCAAAGAAGAAGGCAGCAAAAACCATGCATGGTTACAGGCCTATCAGTCTCATCCCTTGCGCCTACAAGATCCTTGCCAGAGTGCTCTCGGACCGACTAAAAAAGGTTCTTCCTCTCACTATAACTGACCAACAATCTGCTTTTGTAGAAGGAAGACATATTCTGGACTCCGCCTTATTGCCAATGAAATCATTGATGATTGGAAGTCACAAAAAACTGAAGGAGTGGTGATACAACTTAACCTCAAGAAGGCTTTTGATATGGTGGACTGGGATTTTCTGGATATGGTGCTAAAATACAATATCCACTACTAGTTTCTCCATTATCATAAACGGGAGACCAAGGGGTACATTTACGGCTACTAGGGGATTGAGACAAGGAGATCCATTTTCTCCATTTCTTTGCATCCTCATAACAGATGTTCTCAGCAGCATGCTACACCATGGACAACAAATCTATCATCTGAAAGGTTATTCCTCTCGTTGTGGCACTTTAACGATTAACCATCTCCTCTTTGCAGATGACACCCTTTTGTTCTCCAAGAAGGATCCATCCTCCATCAAAAACCTTAATAAGATCATAAAATTTTTCGAGATAGCTTCAAGACTCAAACATTAACTACAACAAGTCTAGTGTCTTTGGTATCTCTATTGACAATCAGGTTATCAACAACATAGCTAAAGCGTGGGACTGTGCGCCAGGATCATGGCCTAGCACTTATTTGGGACTGCCTCTCAATGGAAACCCAAAAAAGGAATCATTATGGATGCCCATCATTGAGAAAATACAGAGCCGCCTTTGCAACTGGAACAGTTTGTATATATCAAATGGGCGACGCCTTACCATTCTCCAATCCATCCTCACCAATCTACCTACATACTATCTATCTCTCTTCAAGTTATCGGGCAAAGCTACGTATCTATTGGAAAAACTATTCAGGGACTTCTTATGGCAGGGAGCAAAAAATGGGGGAAAATCGCATCTCCTAAACTGGACCAAAACACAGCTTCCCGTTGAAGAGGGTGGTCTCAGTGTTGGCAATATCAAGCGGAGGAATAGTGCACTTCTCTCTAAATGGGTGTGGCGTTACACAACTGAACCAAACTATCTATGGAGGAAACTTATCTCAGCTAAATACCATGGATCCAACACAAATCCTTGGCCTAACCGCTGCCAGTCCCTCCACAAAGGCCCTTGGTCCTCGATCAGCCAACTCACTTGCTTTATAAGGAACCTAGCAACCTATAAGGCGGGGGAAAGAAGCACTATCAGCTTTTGGCAAGAGAAATGGCTAGCACAGGGAACATTAGCCTCACTTTTCCCAAATCTATACACTATAGCCATGGAAAACGACGCCACCATTGGAGATCATTGGTCCAGGACAACCTCCTCATGGAGTTATACTTCCAGGCGGCCACTAAAGGAGGAAGAAATTGATGAGTGGATGAGACTGTCCTCGTTTATTGAACCGATTGTCCCCTCATCCAACGAAGATCAATGGAGATAGCCCCACGAACCATCGGGCTTATACACCACCAGATCAACCTTCAAATTACTCTGCTCACATACTGTCCATGACCAACAGGAATCCACCCTCTACTCTAACATTTGGCACGGTAAGTACCCCAAGAAAATTAAATTTTTCTGCTGGGAACTCACTCACGAGGCCTTAAACACTCATGACAGAATACACCCCTATTTGTCCCTGCTCCAAATTGCTGCCTTCTATGCTTTGGAAGCTCGGAAACACAAAGCCATCTTTTCATTCATTGCCCATTTGCCACTCGATTTTGGAACTGTTTGCTCTCAAGTTTCGAATGGACAACAGCTCTCCACACACAACCAGCTGCACTACTTGATTGTTTTTTGGTGGGGGCACCCCTTCAACAGAGGAAAAGCCCTCTATACTTTGGACACAACTGATTCGAGCCTTCCTTTGGTCTTTATGGTTAGAAAGGAATCACCGTCTTCAACAAGGCACTCCCCTTTGAAAACTTTTTTGATAGGGTCATTGTACTTGCTATGGGGTGGTGCAAATGTTTTTATCCGCTTTTCAATAGTTACTCTTTAAATGAGCTTATTACAAGCTGGGAAGCCTTCTTGTAATTCCCCTTGTGGCCTTTTGTATATTTCATACTATCAATGAAATATTTTTTCATCAAAAAAAGAAAAAGTATAAAAATAAAATCCAAAACAGAAGCCCAGACCAAGAATTAGAAATGTCTATCAGAACTTAATGCTGGTTGCATGAAACTGCCAAATGCCAGAATACCTCCTCAAAAGATGTTTCTACAAGTAGAAATTAAGCACCAAGTAATTTTCTGGTTGCATGAACTGCCAAGTGGCAGTGTTCCTCCTCCCATAAATTGTATTTATGTATTAAAAAAAAATCTATCTTTGTTTTTTATAAATTAGATTGGTTACTTTTTTAATATTAATAATTTTGTAATGTTTTTATGCTTTGATCATGGAGTATTTATTTTTTCCTTTTATCTATTTTTGTTATAATTTATAAGCATTATTTGTTTGGTTAATTTATTTAGAAGTCAATATATACCCATATATTTTCTAAAAAAATAACGTGTCCCCAACATGTCCGTGTCCTATTTATATTTTATTTTTTTGGGATATCCGTGAGTGTCCGGGCCATCTTACACGCACCTCAACTAATCTCACGGAGCAACAGCCTGACCCTACAACATTTGGTGCCAAGAAACACATAGGAATTACTAATTCCCAAGGTAGGTGGCCATCATGGGATTTGAATTCATTCCCTCTTAATTAACCCTATTGTCCTATATCTTAAAAAATCGGCGTGTCGCAGTGTCCGTGCTTCTTAGGTTATCTTTAGGTTAGAAGATAAAGAGTGTGTTCATTTAATTGAATCTAAGCTCTCGGTAGACAAATCTTATGACTCGGCAGGGTGTGATTTCTTCAAAACTTAGAAATCTCAAAACATCTCTTAAGCAATTGAGCATTCAAAATGAAAGGAAACGTAAGGAAGAAGAAGAGAAGATTATTTCTGAGATTTCTCTACTAGATGAGGCTGACGAATCTTCGAGTATTTCTTTGGTAGAGGATGGCAAGAGATGTTCTTTGAAGAAAGAATTGATGAATTTATTCATAGATTTGATGTATTTCTCTGGCAAAAAAGGGATGACAACTTTTCAGCTTCTGTTTGGTCCATCCTTTCCTCCAAAGGCAAGCATCCTCTGGATGAATGATCTTAAAGCTCTTATTTCCGAGTTATGGTTCGACCGAGACCAATGGGTTTTTTTAAGGGAAACGTAGATCAATTTTCGGAAGTTTCGGCGTAGCTAAGTTTAAAGCTTTTCAATGGTGTCAAATTACTCTCCTAGCGTGATTTGCTCTAATTGGGAGGCTTTTTTGTCTACTGTTTAGATCTTCTCTCAAATGTTGTTCTATCTCTTTTAGCCTTTTTTTTTTGGCTGGTTTGGTTGACTTTATAGTTATTTTCTTCTTTTATTTTTCTCACTTCACTCAAGGGTGTGTATTTTGAACAATTACGGTTCTTTTTCATATATCAATGAAAAGTTTGTCTCTGGTTTAAAAAAACAAAAAAAATAAACAAAATATCACCAAAAGTTACAAAAGCCTTAATAAAACATTGAAGAACAAAGCACCCAAGGGATAATCAGACAAAACTATGCCAGAATCAAAACTGCACAGCCAAATAACTACTAAAGATAAAACCATGTCCATCAAAAAGCAAACCTAAGGAAAATAGAGCAAAAACGACTCCAGCAAGAGATAGTACCAACTCCCTTCAAGGGACTAAACAATTATTGAATTGAAAAGTTCTGGAGCTAGGATACTATGGGAAATTCGGGAGCTTACGCTCTAATGGTAGTAGGAATAAATACTTAATGTCGTGCAAATTAGAAGGTTAAAGACCATATAACTACAATGATTCATGCCCAAACAGAATTTAGTAAAGAACACGTGTTGTGATCGTGATAAATAATAGAAGATTACAGAATTTAAATTTACAGACGTGCGGAATAGAAGAAGAAGAATCTAAGTCACGTACTTCTAACAAATTAACAATAACCTCAAGTAAGGGTACAGATCTAAACAAAGAAATTGGAAGCATCAGTAGTATACCTGATTTTGTGGATAAAAATGTCTAGCAGCATGCTTTCCTGCCTTGTGTGGATCACTAGAATAGATGAATAAACTAGGTGAGTTAACTTGTTAAATGCTTGAAACCCAGCTAAAACAGTAGTGGCACCCCCTCTTACCCACCCAAAAATATAAAATAATAGGATGGCACATACACCAATACACAATAACACAACACACCCAAAAAGAGGTTACAAGGATGAGATGAGACACCATTTCTACATAGTTGATAAATGTCAACATCATATCACAAACCTGGATCTTTTCTCCGGAGTATAAGAATGTAGTAAACAAATGTGTACGCTTACATCAACAAGCACTGCATGGAATGCATCAAAATGAACAGGGCAATACGAATGCAATCCTAAGAGAGATTTCGGAGGAATTCGGAATTCATGTACTGCAGCAGGAGAAGCATCCAACGAGGCCTGCAATTCTAGTCTGTATGGTGCACATCAATCATTACAGGTATCCAATTTTTTATTATAGAACTATCGTAATGCAGGATAACAAAAATGGCTTTGTGATTTGACCTCAACTAGTTGAGCAAGCGCCAAATTATGCATTATGTCAACTCACCCAGCCTCCAATATTGGAGCATACATGAGCTCAAACTTCAAAATAATGGCAGAGTTGGATGGAGCCTGCAAAATATTTGGTCTATATCAAATATGTTCCAACCACAAAAGAAAGGAAATATAGATCCGAAAAGACATGGAACTACATAAATTTCTTTTACAAGGTTGTTGCTATTCCTCGTAAGAAAACAGTTTGAACAAATTCCAACAGATGAATTCTTGCAAGAACTTATACAGAAACCATACTGTCAAGCTTACTTTTCTCTGGGGAGATGTCATATTGTCATTATGAATACTTTCTCAGTTAAGTTGATTCTTTTCAGAAAATTATCGCCTGTATAGCAATTTAGTATAAGACCCTAAGCCATTGAGATATACGAAAACTAAATAAATGACAAGACCATCTAGTTGCGAAGGGAAAGGCAAGATATGCTTCTAGATTAAATATATCAAGTTTTTACAATTAAAAGAGACTTCAAATATGGTTAGTTCACTGGGAGCAGATTAACCAAGATAGATTTCAAACTTCCTAATAATTTGAGGGATAGAATACACTAAATTTTTTAACCAGAAACAACTTTTACACTGATGACAGCAGGCTTTCATTTTCTTGAGTGGTGGGGTGGAAGAGAGAAATTCCTACCTCATACTTAACAAGGGGGAAATTGAATGAGATCATAATGGACAGAAGTACATCCTGCCTTGCATACTTGATCTTAAACGGCTGTGTAGAGAAACTGTTGTCTGTATCATCAATCTTCCATACTCCATAACTATTACCAGATCCCAAATCAGGAGCTGCATCATAATAAATTTTGACAAACTATTTTAACTTTTAAAATAAATAAATAAGAGAGAGATAGAGAGATAGAACAAATCACTATCAAAAAAGGTCAGTACTATAGACTCAAAGGTCTCAGACCAGCACTTCGTAAGTTAGACCATTATAATTTGTCCACTTATTTCATGTTCACTTAGTGAGATAACTGCCGCAGATTACAACACAGTCTCCCATGTACCCATTAATCAAAAAATGCAACCATCCCAAAATACAAGTCATCTTCTAAATTTCCAGAAACATCATTGGGGATGAGCAATACTGTGTGTCCAAGCAGAAGTGCCAATAAAGCACCGCCCAATGGTTTTACTGGAGAGTTTATTATAGAATAAAATCTTAGAACATCATAAAAGGCAACTTTAAAGTGTTCCAGGATTGTGTTCAGAACAGAATCTTGAACTCGCGCATAAACATGAACTTTACAAGTCATTTTCTAAGAAAAGTGAAGGAAAAGGAGGGGGTGGGAAGGTTTCAGCCGACTAGCTCAGTTAGCAACTAAAATAAGATGGGTTAAATTACAAATTTAATCCTTAACCATTCGATTGGGTTTATTTAGTTCTTAAAAGTTAAAACTTCAAACTTCCGAACTTTTCTCAAATTGTCTAATAGTGAACTAAGATATGCTCGTTGGAAGAAATTCAGGAACTCATCAATTAAGACATTAGCGAAAATACCTTCATATTGAACAACTCTAGCTGGTGTTCCGACGGAAGTATACTCGCTGTCTTCCCATCTCATGCTAATTTTAATTTGGTACCATCTAAACGGAGAAATAGCCAATAATAAGTGGCTACTACTAAAATGCACCCAACGATTGTGAGAGAGAGAAAAAAAAATTATTAAGGAATGTAAATGCACAAACCCTTGCTGAAAAAGGTCGAGATTGTGGAACCTATGAATGTAAATAGCAACTTCCTGTACAGTATCCAACATAGCCACCGGCTTAACTTTGGCCAAACGTGGCTTTGCATCAGGGAGCCTCTTCACAGACCGAACTTGATAACTTAGACCGATGAACCACCCTAGATTATGGAACATGCGTGGCTCACCAATGCAAGTGTTACATGCGATCAAATCCAACTGAAAAAAGTTGCCCCAACATCTTTCCAGCTTCCTGGAACTCCGCCCATTACAAGTTAGATCCCCGAATCACTTCACAAAAGAAATTCACGGAGAGGTTTCGAGAATAAGTGACCTCCCTCTCAAAACCCCCTCCCCCTCCCTCAAACCCTAATTCCGCGAGTTACAGGAGCGGCAACCAGATAAAATTTGTAGATTCGGCTGGAAGCTGAAGTTTTATCTGGTGAAGCTTAAGATCATCGGATCTGTCGCCAGATGGGGGCGCCGATGGAAGATTCGGTGAGATCACACGTGGTGAGAATCGGAGGGAGAAGCCGCCTCGGTCTTCCGGCGGGGAAGGTGGCGGTGGTGGGAGACGGCAGAAGGGCGGAGCAAATTTTGGGGAAGACAGACGAGAGAGAGAGAGAGAGAGAGAGAGAGAGATCCGAATTTGGAGGATGAATGTCGGTCAAAGTGAGAGGAGAAATGGGGTTAGTAGTGAAAACGACGCCGCTTGGGGAAGAAAATTGCAGAGTATTTGGCCAGCTGGGCCGCATGGTTAAGAAATCTTTTGTGTGTCGTTGGTGGGCCATTTGTCTCGCCAGAACAACGCTTCGTCCGTGACTCCAGCCGCAAATCTTGAAAACGCCCTGATTTTTTTTTTCGTTTTTCTTTTTTCTTTGAAGTTCCATTATTTGGCCAAAATTCGATCGGCTTCGTGAATACTACATAGTTTAGAGCATAACTAAGTGAATAGTGGTAATTCAGATTCTGTTTTTTGTTATCGTATTTCAATTTGATTTATTGAATATGTGTTTCACAGTTCTTGATTCTATAATTTAAATAATGGAAATTTTGAAAACAATACGTAGAGTTTTTCGGATTTTGTATTTGAAACTTTAAAATACAGGATTATGGTGAAAATAAAAATAAAAATCATTATAGTGTGGTCTAGTGGTCAATAAGGCACCAAAGAATTTAAAAAATGTCAGACGGTTGTCCCGTGAGATTAGTGGAGATACAGTTAAATTATGTTTTTCATTGAATTCGTTATTTTCATATTTATGTTTTCTGATCACCAACCAAAAGCACCCTAGATACTTGTTACTTTTTAAAAGTCAAAAGTTTAATCTATTTTTTGCCGTCTAAAGCCACCATCGATTTTCTCAATTCTACCTCGGCGAACTCTAGAATATTCGAGATTTTTTAAGTTCATAGACAAAGCATAAATTCGATAAGAGTGATTTTCCAATTGTCTCAATTATTAAAACTAGTATTGTTACCTCTTAATTCATCACTTGCAAAAGTTGTTGTCCATGTGTCAACTAAAATTGACGAGAGGATGCAGATAAGATGACCAATGAAAAGAAAAATAGAGACATCCAAATAAAGGATGTTTACAACCAAACAAGTCAATAAAAATCAACTTTTTTTAATGGTACAATAAATGTTCAACGAGTATTTGAACAATCAACCTGAAAAAAGACAAGTAGATATATTAACCATTATGGTGCTCGTACTAGCAATAGAAATTAATCTTATGCAAATAATTGGTTAAATAGGGATGAAATTTCATCCACTTCTAGATTTGAGCTTCCACGTGTTTGAATTTATAACGAAAGTTTATGATTGATATTTTCGAAAAAGTGAAATAGAGACCATTCCATTTCACCAATGAAGCTAGGAAAGGAAAAAATTAATTATATATTATCATTGTTATATTGAAAGGTATAATGTAAGAAAACAAAATAATTTTAATTTGACAAATATCTCCTGATGTTTGAATCCTTCATCCACCTTTTTGTTGAAAAATAATACATTAGAAGATTGCACTTGCAAATCCTCGTAAAAAATATTCCAATCAAATTCCTTCCAAACTCAGGTCATAGATAATTGCATAGTTGGCAAGAAAAACTTGAAATCTATTAATTTAACTCACCAATCTCTTTTGTCAATTCCAACATAACTCAATTGCTAAGGTATATATTTTCGATTAAAGCTTCTGAATTTAAATCTCCACCACCACATATTTTTTTAGTACAACATGTAGGATGAGGGATCGAACTTACAACCTTTTGGTTTGAGATATATGTCAATTGAGCTATGCTCGATTTGGCCCACTTCCCCATGTACAAAAAATAAAAAATGAGAACTCACCAGTCTCTTTGTAATCACCTTTGCTTTTAATTCTTTAATTCTTTTATTATTTAGCCCCCGTTTTGTAACGAGTTCTTTTATAGTTTTATATTTTTTTTAAAATTATGTTTGTTTTCTTCCTATTTATTTCGTATGTTTTTCATATTTATTCAAAATAAAATTGAAATCTTGGCCAATTTTAAAAACAAAAACGAAGTTTATTTGAGAGCAAAATACGACATGTCATGTGGAGATAAATGAAAGATTGCCGTACAAGAACTTTCCTCATCACATAAAAAATAGCTCGGTTCAACCATGGTTGGTCCTAAGAAGGCCATGCGTTGAGGTAAGGGCCAACTATAACTACATAATAAATTCTAGAAACAGTTTAATAGAACGGTTACGTGAGACCCACTACTTCTAACTCTATAAATTGGAGCATCATTCCTTACATAGCTCGAAATCCAACATATACAAAGTTTTGGAAATTATTTTATTTGGTTTTCAAATTTTTCTTAGATTTTGAATACTTGATAACAAGAAAGGTTATCAAAATGAATACATAGGTAAAAGTAGTTGTTGTAAGCTTAACTTTGAAAAACATAAAACAAGAAATAAAATTGTAATCAAACGGAACTTTAATAACCAAAGCGAGCACATAGCTCAGCGGTAATTGATATATACCTCCAACCAAGAGGTTGTGAATTCGAATTCCCTCCCCACCATGTTGTACTAAAAAAAAGGAACTTATTAATAGTTGAAATACATCATGCAAATCATCTATAGTTAGAAGTCGATAATTTTTTGCTTTGTGACAAATTGCCACAGCACAAAAAAAAAAAAAGACAAGATAATGTTTGAAAATTTTGGCAGAATGAAAACATCATTTTCTTGGGTCATTGTCTTGCCTTGTCTTCATTATTCTAAAATAACATGTCTGTAGTTTATTTTAAAAAAATTAGATAAAATATTTCTCCATCTCTTTTAAGAAATGTAAAGAGTTAGCATGTGAAAAATAAGTTAGCAACAAAAATAATCACGTGTGTAATGTTGTGTTATTTAATTCTTTTTCTCGACTCATTTTGATAAGGTTTCTATTTATGGGTTATTACTTATCATTTACAATTTTTTAAAAATAGTGTTTTGTAGCTGCTTATTATTTCTTGTTTCTTATTTCTAAGAAACGTTTCCAAAATTTTGAACAAATTCAAGTTAAAAATATTAATTTTTTAATACAACCAGTGGATGTGAGGATTCAAACTCATGATCTTGGTCAAACAATGCTTAAACCAGAGTTGAATAATTAATTTAAAATTTTAGTTTTCATATAAACTTTTATTTATTTTTTTATTTAAAATTGTAAAGAACAATAAAAAAAATAAATGGTTACCAAATATGTTTATTTTATTTTTTCATAAAAAATAAATAATAAGAAACATTAAACAATCACCAAATGTAATTCTGTTTTTATTTATTAAAAAAACAAGAAACAATAAGTGAAAAATGATAAAATAAAAAATAAGAACGTTCCCAAATAGGTTATAAAATATATATTTGTTTTTGTTTATTTGTCTTCCTTATTAAAATATGATCCCTCCCTTTATATTATAAATATACTTGTTATGGGTAGCTTTCGAATAGGACACGTGTTTGCCCCTCCGTGGGCGCAGGTCCACTGAGAACCGATTCTCAGTGGGGATGTCGCGGAGCAGAAGGTGTGTCTGCTAATGACAGGACAAACACCACCAACGTTTACGCACCGTCAATACCCACAGCTGGCGGTGCGTGCTGTCGGCATGATGAGCGCATCCAACGGCCCTAGGTGACATGCCTAGGCGACGCAGGCAGTGGGGCTATCCTGCACTGTCG